AAAACATCTGGAATGCCCTGCTTAGCCTGCTGCCACTGTGATTCAACTCTGGTTAAGTGTAAAAAACTAAATGGATATTTCTGCTGGAGAAAACCAAACATATACATTTAACATGATTTTTTTTCAATTAAATTTTGTGATAATTATTGAGATTGCTTTACTGCACAGCCCTACTGAGAATAATTAGGAAAAAATGGCGTTGTTCTGAATGCTATGTTATATGATTCCTTCTCTCGTTTGCACACTGCCATGTGGTTTCCTTCAAACAAATATCAAGAAGACTGAGTGTAGCCAACTTTTCCAACTCTGTTGCACATCGTCTGTAGAAGAAACCTCAACAGCTGAAAGGTGTGGCACTTGATAACATGCTCAGCTCATCTGTCTCCTCAGCTCTTTCAGCTCTCGTCTCTCTGTAGTACTTTTGGCACTTTTAGCAAAGTAGTGCCTACAGCTTAGAAACTTTTTTTTTTTGAAAAATGACAGCTTTCACGGCTTTCAGATGCAGCAGAAGCATATTCTAAGGGATATTTAGATAATCTCAGGGGGGAAGTTTTGAAGTGATCAATCTCAGCAGCACTACCCCATAGATAGTAATCCTTCTGGGGTGAAAAATGTGCTGCTGCTACATCTGCGCGCTGCAGAGAGGAGGTGTGCAAAGAAGAAAAGAGTGTTTAATAGCAGTGGGAGGAGGAACACTTTGCTTTTGTTTCCACAGTCCATAATCCCAGCAAAAGAAGAAGTGACTGATAAAATAAGCAGAAACTATGCATGATTGTAATGGTTTTTGACAGCTGTGTTATTTTCCAGAATATTTCTACCTGAGTCGGAGCCAGTCTGCTCGCAGCTCATCTGTCTGCGACAAGCTGGATGCTATCCAGTCGGCTCGGTGTGTTTCCCACAATCCCCAGTCCTCTTTGCACTGCCATCCTACTGTCTTTTCCCCTCAAAGTTCAGCTCTTCCTCCTACATCACAAACACATTCCAGCATCTGTACCGCTGTCTCTCTCCAGTGATTGCAGCATTTCTCGTCTTCTCCACTACGCCTGTGATTTCTCGTCAGGTGCCCCCACACCCCCAATCTTATAACCCTGTATAAGCTCCCCTCTCTCTCGCCACTTCTCCTCACCTCTCTGACACTCCCACAGGGCTCTGCATTCAGAGGAAGCTGCTCGCCTACCCTCTCCAATCCCCGCCCCTCTGCTCTAAGTGATCACACTGTTTATATGGCCTTTTCCTTTTATCCAATTTCACACGTCCCGGCTTGTTTACCAGCAGTGGGGGCCACAGAAAACCATACTGCCCTTTTCCTTTAGTCTCCACCCCCCCCTTTCTGTCTTCTTCATCTCTTCTTGCCTCTACCCTGCCAGCAGCTTTGCAGCAGAAATAAAGGCTAAGCTTACTTCGCCTGTTTTCAATGAATGTGATTAGGTTTCTATTTTTATACAGGCTTGACTCACATTCAGCAGTGTCATTTATTGAATCTGGACTCTGCAGCTCTGTTCCTAACACAATCAAACAAGTATTGCCCAAGGCTACATACTCCTGACAAAAGCTGTAATGAGGGGAGGCAGAGCAAAGACAGACAGTGACGAATGCTGCATGTAACTGCAGTGTTATATGTTTGAATGACATCTAGATGTATGTATAAATTAATTACCGAGGACTTCTCTTCACGAGCATGGCTGAATATGTTAGAAGAAAGGGATGTAGAAAACAAAGCCACCTCATGTGACGTACTTTCAATTGCAGGACCTTGGGACAGGCACGAGGTGGAGGAAACTTTTACTGAAATGGCCCGCTAATTGGGCCTTTTAGCCTTCTGTTTCCTTTAAGGTTTAGGATCTGACAACTTAAAGAATTTCCTTCTGGAAGTTTTATCTTATCTTAGTTTTGAATGTGACATTACTGAGGGTTCAAAAAAAAAGAAGACAAACAGTATTCACAGGATGTAACTCCAGTTCTATGAGCATGTAGGAAATGGTACAATGGAGTTTGAATTTTGTGTTATATGATGGCATTTGATGAAGTAGGTACTTTTTGTCCCCAGAAAATGAATGAATCAAAGAGGTTTTACCGGGATGATTGCTGTGGTCAGAACACGACCAAAGGTTCAGGTCACACTAAAACAGCTCTCAAGTTCCAGCAGTGGAAAACATTTTCTTGACAAGGTTTCAGGGACTAAAATCCAGAAGCTAAACTAGAAACTGAAAGATATTACATCTCCACACTCCTAATCTTAATATAGATCTTATTTAAATTGTTTAATGTAACCAGCAAATTTATGCTGCTGCCTGTCTTGGCTGGGGTTTCTTGAGATTCTTAATCTCAATGAGCCCTTTTCCTGGTTAAATCAACATTAGATAAAAAACATTTTTGACAAGTCAGAACTGATTTATAGATATCTTTAATTAATTACAGATATCAGAAATTTATTCAAGAATAACAATGACTGGTGTCTCCAACTGAAGGATTTTGACAAATGAAAATGTAATTTCCCATTTTAGACACTTCAGAACAATTGTCTTTTATATATGTCAACAAATCATTTCAGATCTGTCATCCTCATTAGAACATACTGAAAGAAAAGCTAATATTTCAGCTGGGGTGCCAAGAAAACATTGTAAACTAACAGAAAATAACCATCTCATCTGCTCTTGTTTTTCCTGCTGCTGATTAAATGTCTGGCCATCGGCAGCCTGACACTTGTCGACCCATACAGATAGACCCCTGATGCAGGTTTAACATGCATCACTGTGTTAGTCTGAATGGGGTACATGACACTCTGAGGCCAGAAGTCACATCTTCTATTCTAGACCAACCCCGCCTCCACAGATCTTCACACATTTAAATGAAGATGCCACAAGGGCAAGCGACTGATCCGAGGAACAAAAGCACTTAAAATTAGAGAGGCAGTCAGAAGATGCTCTGCTTGTGGAAGCAAGATGCCTGTGAGTGACAGCGTGGTTCATGGCCTCACTGCCTCAGAGATATACCTGCAGATGCACGTGTGACTCAAGGACGTGATTCGCATCACTGTTACGTGCTTGGCATGTGTGCAGTGCTGCCTGAAGGACTGCTCTTTATTCCACAGACAGAAAACACCAGGGAAGGAAAACAATGCCGGTAAACTCTGCTCTGTTTATTCAGCAATACAAGACCTTTGGAGCAAGTGTGGAACACACATCGCAGCTGTATGTACTACAATGTGACCCATAAATGAAGTTTTTACACAGTTTTATGAGAACTATTCATCTGACGATTGTAAAAGACCACAATGCAGACAAAACAGCAACAGATCCACATATTAAAAACCTACCCACGTCGCCTCAGCCATTCCCCCGTCCTCTGCTGTAGTTTTATGATTTATTAAAGGGCAAGAGGTGTCAAGCACAGCCTTGGTCTCAGTGAACCTTTCTTGACGCTGCACTGCTGCATACAAGGTAACTAACAGCTTAATCTAGTCTAATAGTCAAGTTTGCTTCTGCCTCACGCGGTAGCAGCTCACTGCTGGCTGTTTATTCAATAGGGATGGGAGGGTATATGAAAAACGTATTCCAATACAATTATGACTTACCTGTTAAAAGATGTAGTCAAGAGGGACATTCTGAGAATGTGAGTTTTATAGATACGAAGCAAATAGAAGAGGTCGTGTGGTGCAGTTGAGGGGAAAAAAGTTCATCCATGAAGTCTCATAATACAATGATACCTGCCATACATTATTGATGATCAGCCCAAATCTGCTGATTGTATAAGTGACATATTTTTATGAGTGTGTTTCTTATTTCCTGAATGTTGAAAATTAATGTGTGACATGGTTATGTTTGCATGAAATGTTTGATGATTATATGGTTCCATGTAGTGTTTTGATGAAATGTTTGTACAATATTTATACAAAATTTGTTACTTACATGCTCACCAATCCTGTGTCCAAGTATTATTTTTGTATTGTATTGATATTTATAATTACAGGGACTGAATAAAGTTAATAGTTCACTTGCAAAAATGTGTGCAGCACATGAATCCTGTTGCTCTTTGATGCTGCAGGTTGAAAATAAACTCAGAGGATAGACTACTGCAAACAGCTAGAAACCCAGATTACATTTTTTAGCGATGACCCTCCTTAATCTGACCTCTTAAAGGTCAAGGTTATTTTGTAATGTGTAGGGACATGAAATGACAGAGCAAAGCAAATGATGCAAAACTTACAACAAAAGAGTTTTGTGTAAACGTCAACTAAGGTTGCAAACTATGTTATTTGTGCTCTCTGTGTTACTTATGGACCAATGTATCTGCAATCTAAATATGTCTTTTTGTTTTTAAGCTTTAAAGGACCACAGCTACCCTTTTTGGTGTTTTAACTGTGTAATGCTGTTCCATGTATTCCATACTATATGAGTGCAAGAGGAGTACATGACATAAAACGGCTGGTGCCAAATGGTTGGACCCCATGGAATCCATTTGTATTACAACCAGAGCCTTGTTCTTCCAAGGTACCAGTAACCAAAACATAATAGGATAAAGAGAAAAACAACACTACCTTCATACCCAGCAGTACAACAATACACACTGTGGCCTTACCAGAGAAATGAAAAACCCTTACCCTTCCACAAACAATAAGTACATTTCCCATAAGCTGCATTCATTGCAAGGCTACTGCATTATATGAGACAACTGTCCTTGTTACTGTTTCTGCTTTGTGCATCGCATCAACAAGTGGAAAAATACAGGTTTTGTTGTAAAGACCGGCAGGTGCTGCACAAATCAGGAGAAATGTTATCGCCCTAAGAAAGTATTTCCGATAGATTCAGGGCTCGGTTATATCTACAGATTAATGTGATCCTCACATATTGAACAGAATTCATTGGATGTCTAGTTAGAAGCGTTTTAAAATGGCAAGCTGTTATGTACATGCAGACACAGTCAAGACTGGTTGCACCTTTAAATGTATCAAAGGTGTTTGCACACCCTCACATTATTATAAGTAGATAAAGGTCACTTACAGACTCATGGTCCGCCAGGTCAGCCAGCACAAAGCAGCGGTACTGCTGCTGGCCAGGAAGAGGTTTGTTGTAGTAGCCATTGTATTTCTTTTCATCACCCAGAGTGAAGATCTCAGGCAGAGCATCCAGCTTGGCAGCGATGTATGGCTGCAGGAAGTCCTGGCTCTGTCTCTTCTTCCTCTGGAGACTGCTGTCAGCACCGGCCTCCAGGAGCTGCCAGAGGGGCGACAAGACATGACACTTTGGAACGGACTTACACAATGGAGCATATTGACACAACATGATATACCTAAACTGATCTCTGTAGAGAGGGCTTTGTCTTCTTTTTCCTTCCTGCATGAACACACTGAACAATTTGCTGTGTCTGATCTTGTAACTTCCAGTTTTCTTTATTGCTTCAGCACATGTTTGTGTTGTTGCCTGACATACAACATGTACAGCACATAGGTCAACTCTGGTTGTTTTAAATCGAGCTCCAGAAATAAAAATGTTTCAGTCTTTCTTTTTCTGTTGCCAGCTGCATTCTGATCGTGTAACTTTCAATTCTGATCCATTTTCAATTCTGATCCCATGTTGAGAGAGCAAGTAGATAAGCACAATTTAAGTTACAGTTAGAACTTTGTAGCTGAGATCTAGGAACCCAAAGTTAGAACACAAGCAGTCAGATAATTACACAGGTTGTAAAAAAAAAAAGAAAAAAAGAAAAAGAAAAAATAGTTTATCTATATTCTCTGGAGGAATTTATTTTAAAGTCAAACTGAAAGCGAGAATGTGCAAAATGTCAAAAATAATCCCTTCTCATGTGGGTCTCTGCATTAAACTTTTTTCTGCAGTCTAATCAAAGCGAGTTTATAGAGATGTATTAGCAACTTGCTTAAGACAATATACACATAGCATTCTGGCTATGTGAGTATGCTTTAAAGAGAATTCTGGTTTATTCCAACCGCTGTATTTCCCAACAATGTGGCTATTGTGTCATATTAACTTTGGACTCTTTGGCTCTGTTGTAGAGATTCAGGTTTGGAGGTGCAATTAGCATGAACTCCCTGTCACTACAAAGAAAACTAACATAAATCATTTTAAACGTTTGTTTGCAGTCTGACTAAAATGAAACATAAAATTACTTGTCTGGAACAGGCATTTAGCTAACTGCATTAGGAATCCCCATCCGGAGGTGGACGCTGGCTGACCTAATCATCAACATATTCATCTGCTGGTTTGTTTCCATCTGTAAGGCTGATTTTCACTGGGGGGCACTGGAGACATTAGGAGCACAGGGTGTCCTGAAAGACAGTGTACCTTGGTGGTGTTCCTGCACTCACTGTTGAGATCAAGAGTGGTGCCTGTTTAAGGAATACCGGGCAAATCTCCAAGGATGAGAGGAATCCCAGCTGTTGAACTACAACTAACAAATCTGCACCTTTGATAAACATCCTGGAAATGTTGTTTCCCCCCTTCCCAACATCAACTGGAAGACAAGACCAAGAGTGAACACTCAGCTCTCCACATGGTCAGTAAAAGCTGATAGTTAACAAAGGTCCACTATGGATGGCTAATTTCTGTGCTTCCATTTGGTTAGACGGAACACAAACATTTGAAATGATGACTGTAAAAATCATCTTATTTTTGAAAGCTGCAAGGAGCTCAGGCTAATTTCCTCCAACTAAACAAAATTTCCGCGAATCTCTTCAATGGAGTTGAAGACTGCAAAGTTAGACTGTCACTTAGAGCCACAAGAGCCAAACTAATGGGAAATACATCACTGCTAGACTGCACCAATGCTTTGCGGCTGAAGCAACAATAAACTACGCATCTCATCATTTTAATTAGATGACTCTTCCAAGCATCTTTTTCATACAGAGTAGTTTCAAGCATATTTTGAGTACTCTCTGTTTACAATGTATCCTTTTTAAATATAAAGACACTTGAATTTTATAAAACTATACTATTGAAACACCATCGTGGTTCAAGGAAAGGTGGTGTTGGAGGATGGCAGACACTTTATGATTAGATAGGATTGCATTTATAGAGTTTGAAGGCCCACGGTGACATTCAGAGGGGGAACAGAGGGTCATGGCTTCATTACAAAAGCTCAGCTCTTTCTATTCTTCTCTAGTGTTTGTGCCCATGCGTGTGAGAGACATCTTTGTCAACCACCTGCTTCCTATCTACACTTTATATCATCTTGGACCGGGCCATACCTGCGACACATTTATATTCAAGGTGACACTGACATGTGGAAAGAATACACAGTGGAAAAGCTTCAAACACACATGGAGCATATTTGCAATTGTCTACACATATACAACAGCCATTTGGTAAACAGCCATTTGGTAAGGACAAGCAATTACATTGTGTCAACCATAGAGGAAAGACTTCCAGAAAAACAAATAACTCTGTAAACTGCTGTTTCTGTTTATTATAATAAAGATAAAGTGGATAAACTTGATTTAATTGCAATGTGTGGAAGCTCAGCCTAAAGAACAAAAAATACTTACCCCAACAGACATTGGTATGCCATACAGATTCTACATCCACACAATGTATTGTACGCAAGTTGGCTGACCATAAGGACACCAGCTCAAATCAAAAAGCTATGACCTGATTGAGGTTGCAGAATAACACCAGTCTCCCCTGATACCAGTATCAAACCCCAACCAGACGACTCAGTACACAGCGTTTGGCTTCAGAAGAGAATGGAGTGGATCCATGCTTGTGGGATGTTTCCCTTTGTTCAATCTGACTGAACTCCAAAGTTTTCATTTTAAAACTTCTGCCATGTTTATGCCTGGTGTCCACACTACTCTGATGTTTTAAGACTCTAAAGACTGCGATATTTGGAAACAATGACGCAGCCACCAATGTCTACTGCTATACTGGATCTTATTAAGTCATCAGGCTTCCATCACTTCACAGATTTCCAGAATACAAAGACTTCTTGACTACCAGGCTGACCAACTGAACATAAATAATGAATGACAGGCATTGCTGACCTTGTTGTCTGTGCTACTGGCAGGATTGCAGTTGCACATGCATTCTCTGGTCTTACGTTTCACCACTGTAGTTCTTCCCCCATAGCATTTTCTACAACTAAGCAACCAACACTTAGCTTTATGTTTACATTGGCACCTGGATGTCCAGTGTACATGAACAGTCATGTTATAGGTTTTCTAGCATGTTAGCATGCATTATTAAAGCAGAGTTGACATGTGGAAAACACTCCACATGTCAGGTTTAACTTATCACATTTATATCTTTGTATTAATTTATTCAACAGCCAGTTGGGCTTTTTTTTTTTTTTTTACCTTTGCCTCTCTACCAAATCACACAAATCTCTAGAGATACAATCCATCAGGAGGGATTTCTGTCTACTAGAAAACAAAGAAAGATTGAGACCATAAGATAACAAACCTCAAGTCTTGATCCATTTAGTTAAGCCATTATCTACTTTAGTTTTATTTGTTCTACACAGATGCATTTATGTGACATTCAGTTCCTTGTTATTTCCATAAAGTATCAAGGGAGGAATTAATGACAAACTATGCTCATAAGAGTTAGTGCACAGCACAACCTTATCAGCCCGTCTTCAGTACTATCTTCAGGCGCAGTAAAACTCCTAACAGCCGCACTTCCTTTCGAGCTTACTCAATAAAGATCGCAGGGAACACAATCCAGTGCAGCAGCTCATTAGAGGAGGCTTATGTAAATGACACCCAAAGCAGCCTGCTCACTTGTAGGAGAGGAAGCACTTTGAAATTACACACTAAAACTAAGGCTAATGGATTTTTACTGACGTTAGGTAATCATATACAATTGCAGGAAAAGTGAAAAAGACCTGTTTCTAAAGCTGCTGGCAGTATAAAGTGAAGCTTGATGATTCTGGTGACACCTTGCATTTCTGAGTTGTTCTGCATTTCAGTAGCAAGCATGATTCAGCATTTAGTCTTACACCCCTGCAAAACAAGCGCAATCCAAAATGGTGACTTGACTGTTGCTCTGCATCCATGTCATTTCTGAGTAATTTTCTCAATAAGATCACCAAGGCTATTCCCCTCACTGCCGTTTAGCTCAACACTTACTCTATTGTTTACAGAACGGAGAAGGGGTCAAGCAAAGAAGGAACCCCACATCACCCACTCTGCCTACTGGGAGATGCAGCACTACTTGTGTCCAATCTTGCACATTTTTATAAAGAAAATTTCAACATCGGCGTCAGCCAGTAAAAAACCCATAGGCCTTTTGGTCGACCAATTCTTCGTAACATATCAACCAGCCTGATTGTCATGAAATATGTTACACATGTTGGTGATCCTTCTGACTGCAGCGGCTTCTGTTCAGATCTTTCTTCTACCATCATCATCCCCAGGGTCATATTTGAACTTTAACAAACTGATTGCATGTCATGTTCAGCATGGTCAATGGAGGACTGCTGTCCAAACTTTCCTTTGGCACCATCAGTAGATTAAATTAACAACTTGGTGCACACTAAATTTGGGCAGACTGCCATGAGTTTTCGTAATCTTACATAATGAAGCCCACTAATTGTTTAATAATTCACTCTTCAGGGTTTGTTCGGGCTCAGGATGGGTCTTTAAGGGGTGACGATGCATGACAGTAAGTATAATCAGTCACTGTACAGCTAAGGCAATGACTGTGTTTAACTTTATTTGACAGAAATCTATGCATTTCCCTGCTATTTCAGACCATCTGATAAAGAAAAATATCTATATGCTGGAGTACCGGTAAATGAAACCTTAATTACTGAAACTGGTTTATAAATATATTAATATATATATATCATTTTTTAGAAAAATTTTCCCCTAAATTCTTATCATTTTGCTACTGGTTATTTTCCTTTGACGCTGGCATCAAAAATTCTTCTATGCAGGAAAAACCCTGCTCCAGCCTTAATGCTTGTTCCCATGAGCACATTCAATGCTCCCCAAATGAAGAACCTGCTAAACTTTATGTCTCTATGACCTCCTCTTGCCGTCAGCTTATGATCAAACATAAGTTTCTGTAGTGCCCCTAACAGCAAGGCTGTAAGAAGAGTTCAAACAGCAAAATGTTGTTTGTCCCGCCAACCTTTTCATATTGCTGTGTGTAATGGAGATTCTGGTCTCAGGGTTGCTAGAGGGGCTTCAGTCTTTTAGTTTTGGTGGTTGTGAAAGTACAGCATGAAGCCAGTTAGTTTAAACAAAGCTGAAATAGAAGATGTGGAATAATATCCTGCAGTGCTGTAAACAGCCAAAGAACGCTGTGTTCTTCTGTAATCTACACAAAGAAGAGGCTGAGAGGCTGATTCATAATCACAGCATTTCTGGATCAGACCATGTCAGTGGAAAAAAGGCTGCCAAGGTAACCTTAAATTACAATACTTGATCCCCATTTATACCAGGTACTGACCTATTTCAAGTGCAGCCACTGGAAATGAGACTGACACTGAAGATGAAAGGCACACACACATGATTTTGTCACCTCGTAGGACTTTTTGACCTCAAATGGTTCTGTGCAGCATTTTTCATACAAGACATGTTGACATGTCACAGGAGAAAAAGCACAGGAGCAAATAATATGAATGATGGCAGAATCTCATTTAGCTGCTTCACTTCCAGGCTTGTGGTATTGCCGATGCAGGGTCAGTGTCACACACTTGTGGCATGCTGGGACACTTTAATAGAACAGAGCCATCACTAAAGAGCCCATATTTGGTACAGGCACAGGTTTATAATTGCGTTTTTGGGGTCTACTAAAACATGGTTCCATGCTTTAATGTTAAAAAATGCATTTTTCTTCTCATACTGTACATTGCAGCGGTACCTACCCTTATCCTCTGTCTGAAAGGCTCCATTTTAGCTCCTGTCTTTTTATAGC